CTCATTTATCTCTAACTGAGAAATTAATGGATTCAGTTTCTTCATTCTAGTTTCTCAAGGGAATATTGAAAAGAATTCTTTTCTTTGAGGTAAAGTGGTTCTTCCTTGCATGGGAAGGTTTATAGAGACACTACATTTTTTTAAGCTTATCCAGGTGCCCGGTCTCACACAGCCCTCCCGGCCACCACTTGCTCTGTAATGGTGATGGCTAAAGTCCTACCAGCTTTTTCAGTGCTGGGGCATTGCATGTCAGTGGGGACGAGACGGTGGGACTCGGCATGACTGTCCCCACACAGTTCCTTTGAGGCAGCACTGTCCGGTTCTTCCTCTTAGATGTACAGGGTCACTTGCCTCACCTCCCATCTCTGCGTCTGTACCTGCACTTGCCACATGAGGGGTTGTACTCACCCATCTCTTAAGCCCTCTCTAGCCCTAAAATTTCCTGGAAATCCTGAGAAAGTGAACATTCTTACATGTTTGACTTACTCAGTTTGGCATTCCTGCAGAAACACAAGTCCTACGTATGAGAAAACAGAAACCATGTTTTCTCAAACTATCTCGGGATTCTGAGTGTTGACACCCCAGAGCCCAAGGTGACAGCATTTGGGGGTGGGACCTCTGGAAGTAATTAGGGTGGGATGCGGCCGTGAGGGTGGGGCCCTCATAACAGGATTGGTGCCCTCATAAGATGAGACACTGTTGAGCTTACTGTCCATCTTTACTTATGTGCCAGGCCAGGAAAGGCCACAGGAAGACACAGCTAAAAGGTGACCATCTGCAAGCTAGGAAAAGGCCCTCGCCAAAAGCCAAATCAGCCAACACCTTGATCTTGGGTTTTGCAGTCATTCAGAAATCCCCATACAAAATTTGTTGATCTTTCCTCACAGGTCCCATTACACCTTGGGTTTTTACTTGTATATGGCACTTACCACATCGTGTAACAGGAAGGTGGATATCCTTTCTGTCTTGCTAGGTAATGAACTTTCTGAAAGCAAAGCTGTGGATATAGAAGCTATTCAATGAATGCTTGTATGAATGAATGAATGAATGAATGAATTGGTGTTCCTCTGTATAGGATTTAGTCCCTATTTATCTCAGGCTTCTGAAGACTCTTTGATTTGACTGTCAGACCAAAGCGTTTTATGGCTCCATCCGCCTGTCTACCATATCATATGTAAGCAGTAGCTAAACATTGTCATTTTTAGCCCTTCACATGTTTAAATAGGCCCAGGGCACTGGTGTGCACCGATAGTCCAGCTACTTAGGAGGCTGCAGTGGGAGGATCATTTGAGTTGAAGAGTTTGAACCCTAACATAGCAAGAGCTCATCTCTAAAAAATAATCTTTAATCAGTCATGGGAGCTGCCAAGGTGCAAAACCAGTAAACTTCAAAAGTCACATATGAAGATCTAGTGTTTTAATAATATTTTACCAACTTGTATTTTGTCCATATTTCAGAGATTCCTCGATCAATATCCATTGATATTCTATATCAATATCAAACTATTGATAGTTCACAGCTGCCAAAACTCCACAAAGACCACATGCCTGGAATGTTACGTGCCCTAATTGGGGAGGTCTGTCCTATTCAACAGGAAAGCAACTCTCCTGTAGTCTATGGTCCTGGCCAACTTCTTTAAATAAAATACAACTGATTATTTTAATGAGAACCCAAATGTTAAGTTCAAGATAAAGCTGACATCGCGACTTTCCGTCAGCCCCTGCATCTGCCATGTGGCAGTGTGGTGAGGGAAGCAGGTGGCATCCTGGCACCCACTACCTCCTCCTTGCTCTTTCTCCCTTCTTCTATGCTGGCATCCAGCTCATGAGCTTTTCCTTCTGAATTTTGATTATGGTTAACCCTTACCTATGTGCCACCTGCAATGAAATCTCCTCACAGCAGGTTGGGCTAAAAAGTTGAAGACCTACCAAGACATCAGCCACAGGCATGTGTCATGTTAGAATGACAAGGAGCAAAGCTGGTACTTGAAGAGAGGATTTTGCCCTAACATAACACCAGGTAGGCAGCACTACCTGAGGAAGCCAGGGTGGGTAGGGAAGCAACTCCATGACATGTAGGGGGTATTTGTGAATAAAATTCTTAGGTTAATTCACTTTTGCACCCTTCCTTCCTTCCTTCCACAAGCATTTATTGAGCACGTACTACAAACTAGAACTGCCCTAGGCTTGGAGGAAATAGCAATGGGTAAGACCAGGTCACCGCACCCCTTCTGAGCTTCCATTCTGGTAAAGAGTGAGACAATGAGCAAGGAAATTAACAAAAATGGGATTTTAGGAAGATGCTACTAGTATCACAAAAACAAAAATGAACAAAGGGGATGGCATTTTCTCAAAAATGTAAACAGAATTACCATATGATCCAGGATTCCATTTCTGGGAATATGCCCAAAAAACTCAAAGCCGGGAGTCAGACAGTATCTGTGCACCCGTGCTCACTGCAGCAGGCTTCACAGCAGCCAACAGGTGGGAACAATCCAACGGTGTTATGTCAGATACCCAGAGCAGTCAGGGTCACAGACGGTAGGATGCAAAATGTGATATATGCATATAATGCAATATTGTTAAGCCTTTTTTAAGAAAGGAAATTCTGACACATTCTGTCACATGAATGAAACTTGTGACGTGTTACATGAAATAAGCCAGCTGTAAAAGGACAAATCCTGCATGATTCTGCTTATGCCAGATACCCAGAGCAGTCAGGGTCACAGGTGGTAGGATGCAGAACGGTGTTATGTCAGATACCCAAAGCAGTCAGGGTCACAGATAGGAGGATGAAGAATTGATACCCAGAGCAGTCAGGGTCACAGATAGGAGGATGAAGAATTGATACCCAGAGCAGTCAGGGTCACAGGCGGTAGGATGCAGAACCGTGTTATGTCAGATACCCAGAGCAGTCAGGGTCACAGGCGGTAGGATG